CACGTGTTTGTATATTTAGAGAGGTGGTGGGTGGAGGGGGGGAGTGATCAAAGCGATCTGCCGCCTCATATTTTTTGTAATTTAAGAAAGAGAAATGTGGCTGGGTGTGGTGGCTCACGCCTGTAATCCCAACACTTTGGGAGGCCGAGGCAGGCGGATCACATGAGGTCAGGAGTTTAAGACCAACCTGGCCAACATGGTGAAACCCACTCTTTACAAAAATACAAAAATTAGCCAGGCATGATGGTGGGTCCTATAATCCCAGCTACTCAGGAGGCTTAGGTGAGAGAATTGCTTGAACCCGAGAGACAGAAGTTGCAGTGGGCTGAGATCACACCATTGCACTCCAGACTGTCTCAGAAAAAAAGAAGAGGAAGAAAGAAAAATGGTAGGGAATGAAGAGCAAAGAAAGGAAGTCACAGAGACACACCCACTCCCATACAAACACTGATGATTTTTGGATTACAGGCTGAATGATTAACTTTTACAATTTATCTTTTTTTTTTGTAGTTTAGGTTAGCAGATAAGCAGCTATTCACAGTTCTTCAGCAGCTCTTTGTCCTTTGAGCTTCAGAGGCTCTTCCCCACCTGGGAGAGTCCCAGCCCCACGAGAATGGAAACCCTCTCGCTGCAGCACAGGCTGGCCCAGATCACTGGCTGCCTGCCCCTGCTGTGTGCCTGCGGGTGGCAACTCTCTCAGTTGGGGACCCTCCTCCCCCTCCTTCCCTGGCCTGACTCTGACTTCACCCTCTGCCTCATCCTCCCCAATCTCCGGACACATGGCAACCTACCTACCTCCTCTCTCTCCATCCTCCTCTGCCTTAGATTTCCAGGAGGACCCCTGCGAGGGGTCTCCCCTCACCATCCTGCTAGCCATCGGCATTATACCCCACTTCCCTGAACTCTCCAGAAAGAGCAAAGGCTTTGCAGTCAACCAGAGTGGCATGAATTTAACTGCCATTTACTCGCTCTGTGACCATGGGCAAGCCTCCTTCCTTGCCCCAGTTCAGCCGGCACTCAAGCTCCCGTGCTCTGCAGGTTCCACCATGGGGCCTTTGCATGCACTATGCCCCTGCGGGGTCTGTTCCCCCTCATTCCTGCCTGGGAACTCCTGCTGAAGGGGGCGTGTTCCCTCCCGGACTCAGTCACTCCCACTGAATCCACAAGGCCTGGACTTCCCAGGTCACCGTTGATACCAATCTTTCGTCCCCATATCCCGAAAGAGTACTTCCGTTATCAGCCCTTGAGGCCCTGTTTTAGGTTCAGAAAGTGTGACCTCTGGGTGTATAGTACTTGGAGATGACTGTCAATGACACAGGCCTGTGATGAATACCTGTGTCCTCAGCCAGCTGCAGACACATCCCTGATTTGTCCCTTTGCCTCCCCTCCCAGAAGAGGGGCTCAGGTAAGCACAGTTAACGAAGGAGCAAACGCTTGCTTCTTCTTTTGTTCAAAAGTTTCTTAAAGGCAGGGGACTTCTTAAAAACAGAGCCTGGCACATAGTAGGTGTTCAATTAATGTTAAAATGCTCAGTAAATGCCTCTCAGACATGCCCAGACTGCTCCAGTTTGTGGGCGTTTTACTCCCATCATTCGCTGTATAATCACAATGTGCCTGGAGCTGATCAATATTGATGAAGCAGATACTCGGGCAAGTGACAAGATATGACACGTGACTTGTCCACAGCCACACAGCACAAAATAATAACAGAGCTAGATGTTCAGAACCAAACCTCCGGACTATGAAAATGACGCAACCACCATTATTATCATCCCGCCTGCAACTCTTTCTTGAGCACCTACTCTGTGCCAGGTGCTTTATAAGCATAATGTCACCTAATCCTCAGATGATAAATGGGGTCTCCAAATCCCCAATTCTCTCTGGAGGTTTGTGTAGGGGGCTGACTACAGCTGCTCTGTGCAGAACTGTGGAGCAGCTGCTGGGCCAGGCCCCAGGACACAGCACAGGACTGGCAGCCACACTCCCGTGAAGCAATCAGTTCCCTCCCTGGAGTGCTGGCCACCCTGCTTAACACTCTGTCATCTGGATGTTCACTCACTGGGAAATCCCTACTGTGGCCATGTTCCGAGAGAGGGAAGAGCCAGCCTCTGTTTGATAGCTATCCCCAAATCTCTGCCTCCCTGATCACCTCCTCCAGGAAGCCTTTCTCTAGTGAATGGCCTCCTAAGAGCAAAAAACTGCCTCAGAGACCATATAGTCCCCACTTCCTGCACCCATTTCACAGATGAAGAAACCACAGCCCGGGGAGGAGAAGGCCCCACTGTGGGGAGTGTTGCAGCTGAGACAAGAACCTAAGCCTCCTGGCTCCTAGCCCAGGGCTCTTCAGGCCCCTCTCTGCTGCCATGACTACACTCAACATGTCGATGTCGGCTGTGCCTTCCACTGAGGGCAGCTGGCACTCAGGGCTACAGGCTCGGGAATGAAACAAGAGACCTGGGTCCTTGTTGACCTCATCAACATGGTTCTTGTTGGCCATCAATGGTCACATCCGCACCCAGCTTAGGAGCATTCCCAGCAGGGGAGAGGGAGGGGTTATCTGTGACCCTACTCATCCCTGTGCAAGCTCTTTCTAGGTGCTTTACAAATAGTAACTCTTAATTATGACATCAACCAAATGAGGGATGTCCCCATTTTGCGGATGAGGAAGGCTATGACATATGTAACATTATTATCTCCATTTTACAGGGACGGAAAGGGAGCTCGGTGGTACTAAGCACTGATTTGAAGTGAGTGAGCATCGGGGAGCTGGAATTTGGACTCAGGCCATCTGACTCAGAGACAACTGTCTCAACCTCTATCCTGCAGGCTGGGCTTCAGTCAGGCCCACGCCCTCCAACCTGTATTCTCTGAGATCTTGACTCTCGCATCTTCTCTTACAGAAACCATGAGCATTTGTGGAAAAGGCGCGGAGGGGAGTGTGCGGAGCCTTTGTGAAGGGCGCTGTGCTACCCATGTGTGAAGGCTTGTTATTTACATATCACAAATCTGAAACATTATAAGACATCATTGTCATCAGCTTAACCCTGTCTGTGCTGTGCCTTCATGAATCCCCTCTGAACCGTGGTTTCCTCTTCTGTAAAAGAATAATGCTCTCTCACGTCATTTGTCTGTCATCCAGTGCCTAGTGTGGCAGGCTGCCCCAGTGATCCCCACTCTTAGGTATTGTATTCATGTCCTTGTGTAATCCTCCTCTTTTGAGTGTGGGCTGAACCTATGACTTGCTGCTAATGAGCAGAAAACAGC